ATCGGGACGAACCCGACGACGACTGGGAACTATTGCCCGCATTTCGGGGAAGCGTTGAAAACTTTTGCATCACATTAGACTTGGCGTATAGCGAGCGGCCGTCCTGTCCGGCCATCGCCGCCGCCGGTGGGGGCGCCGGGAATGACGCCGACAACTGGTGGTCGGCACTCATGTCCATCGCAGACATCGACATCGACTGCGGCTGTTCACCAACGATGGCCTGACTCTTGGCCTTACGCTGGCTGTCGGTGTCCTTCTTGAGTATAGACTTGAACTGTTTGTTCTTGTGCTGAGGTATAGGTGTGGCCACAGTCATCGTCACCCGATCGCCCGACTGGCGGATCAGTTGGACGACCATCTCGTGGGACATGTGCCGCACGTCCGACCCGTTCACCGCCAGTAGAAAGTCGCCGCGTTTAAGGCCCGCCGCTTCGGCCACCCCTTGCGTCTCGATCTCATCCAAGTATTGCAAACCAATGAGCGATGGGTTTTGCTCCAGAAGTAGCGGTGACGTAGCCTTCGCCCCTCTCAGCACAAATCCGAACCCCTTTGAGCCCCTGTTCAGTATGACTGTCCGCTCGTGATAGAGGCCCAGACCCGACGCCGCCGATGACTGGCCACCCGCTGAGTCCTAACGTTGTTATAAAGACGAGTATAAGTGGTATTAGTTATTATGGATCAGATGGTGATAATGGCTAATGTTTGGTTTCATACCGTTTTGAGAAAGTTTCGTTGATTACTGCGCCCCCGAGCGGGCAGTGTTGTGGCCGAGTATTTCTGGTCGCGTCGGCCCTCCACCCGAGTCCTCACCTTTTCGACACAACACGTGGGAAACAGACCCTCCTTTCCATCCATACACCGACGCCCGAGTAGTAGCTTCTGATTGGCTATAGTCGGCGGTGAGGATGTGTTTTGCAACAACAAAATCATGTCATTTCGCCGCAGACCCAGATGTGTCGGATCACCGGAGTTATAGTCGATGACCGCCACGACAGTCATCCCCGGCAACAGTTGTACCGGTCGTACACTAGACTCGTCCGACTCGGACTCAGTGGCCGAGTCGTTGCCATCACCGATCGGGACCTCCTCTTCGGCCACTCCGTCCGATTGAGAGCCATCTTCACAGCACACGCCGGAGGAGGTGGTAGTGGTTGTGGTGGATGTGGCGCACGAGCGTTGACTTAGGGATGGCGACGACGGACAGATGGTCTGTCCGGTGGCCGACACTTGTAACTGATTTTTGCCCCCATTTTGTTGTGACTTGTATTGCGACTGAAAGATCATAGATTTAGTTGTAATTAATTGTTTCAATGCATAAGTTTTGTGTTTTTTTGAATGATTGCCAATTACTGTATGTAAAAAATATTTGTTTGTTGAGTGAAAGCTCCGGGATTACAAACCCTAAGCATTTACACTGAATTCACATCACATTCTCTGTACATAACAACCATTGTATGCGAGATAATCAATGCGTGAAATGTACACAAATAATAAAGTTATCGAGATAAATTTTTTAATGCACTTTAATTGCAGGTACTGTAAAATGTACTGCAAATGTCACGAATGTATAACTTATGATGAATATTCATAGTATTATTGGCAAACCTATTCCTATTGTAAATATATTTTGAACTTACCATTTGGGATCGTTGTTGTTGCTGGTGGTGGAGTTGCTGTTCCTCGTGAGTGGGCGGTGGCCTACGGGCCGGATTGTACTTAGGCTTATCCCTATACGGCACCACCATTTCCGGCTTATGGCTGGATATGAGTTCGGCTAAACTCATATTATTGGCGATTACGGCGACCTGCGATCCCGAGTAGACAATCATATCATGTATTTTGTGATTTTTAAAGCTTGGTTGAAATTATTTCATATCTTTCAAAGCTTTCATTCCGGAGTCAAAAAACTTATGAAAATAATTATAAATTTGTCGGAAATTAAAACCTTTAGCCGAAAGTTCTCTCATAAGAAAATATGACATTATATTTGCCTCAAAAATATTATTTCATTTTTCTGTACTGAACTTCACTGAACTTATAGTTAAACTATTTATTAGTATTATTATTACTGTTGTTGTATTTCACTAACAAAAAAAACACAGAAAATAAAATGCAATTTAAATTATTTAAAAAGCAATTTATTTTCGTTAAATACTATTGCAAATCCTACGGGATATTATCGTTAGTGAAACACATGATAATAATAATGTTCAATAAAGCGGCAAATAGGGTGATTGGAATCGGGTTTTTACACCATCATAAAATTAGTTATACTTTACATAATATACATAATAAATATATTATATAATTATCTATAATATGGTGAGAGAATAATACAAACTTTTCTTATGTAAACCAATACACAGAATATAATATTGAGAAAAAACAAAATCAAATCATAAACATGTGTTCACTTCGCTATAACTAATGGGAATATCAAATGAAATATATATTTTGAATTTCATGAATGACTTGTTTCTCTCGTCTCAATATAACAGTAATTAACACTAAAAATAACAACAAAAAAACTATTGAGACTTAATTGCAATTATAAATGAACTGCACTTTTTTGGGTCGACTCTCAAATCGCTGTCTGAAGAGAGTGTTAATGAAAAAAGACTCACAAACTCTCAGTCTTTGTGAGAGAGAAAAACATATCAAATACTACTGAATGTCAAGATTATTAGCAGTCATTCAAAACGACGCTTAAATTGTATGATAAGTGGTTTATCACCGTTTGATTGGCTTTTCACAAGAAAAATACGGGCCGGGGGTTAGGGTTGGGCTATGTTTTGGTGTTGTGTGCGAAACACAAGAATATCTATTGTTTTGATCCACACAACTATCGAGTGAATAGTATTTTTTAAAATACAATTTATTAATATGTAATTTCCGTAGTATTTTGTGAGTGAATTGTTTCTAAAAGTATCATGGTGCGAGATATTTATAGCGTTGTTAATTTGACATTTCTATTGTACAACCCTGATTACTCCAGGGATTATACATGTATGTGAATAATATACATTTCTCACTAATTATCGAGATGATATAATTAAAAGACAAATAACTTAATACTTGTGTACAGTATATTAATATACGTGAAAAATAGCACAAATTGCTTCATTAAGGCTAAAATATGCTAAATATTTATCTTATCATTTAAATAACAATATAAGCACTCATTTAGTGTATAATTGATTTCATTATAATAAACACAAATTTCAACAAAACGAAAAAATTAATTAACTTTTTAAAAATAAATATTTTGCAAACGTATATAAATTATAAATTTAAAAAATATAATCTATTCTTTAAGCAGAGAATAGGATATCATTGTTATACACCATTCAAGGCTTCACTATATGTTACTGAATGGTAAATAATATAAGTAAGAGATAAGTGAAAGTATATATTCATTAAATATATTGTTAATTAATTGTTGATATAAATGAGTGGATGAATATCTAAAATATTTATAACACAAACTCATGTTAATCCTTGACATCCTAATAGACTTCAAAACACAATATAATTATCTCGTTGTGTTTTTTCTCTACCAAACAATACTATTAATTAAATAAATCGCTCGCTTTGTTGGATAAATAGTTAATGAATTATTTTTTACTCTTCAATGGATAATTGAAATTGAATGCTATTTTGCCATCAAATTTATGCGTTATCCTCTATTATAAACGTCTATTTTTGTAATTTATTGTAGAATTAGCAAATTATTTCATTAGGGTAATGGTGTTATTAAGTAATATTACTAATATTAATACTAGGTAAACAGTAGGGTATATGATAAGTCATAAATGGCAAATAGTGTGGTATTTTATTATCTATTACACAGTTGTATTTATCATAAATAAATAAAAATAATTCATAAATGTAGAGTTAATAATATTTATCGAGAAATTTTTATTTTACCATTTCCAAATTAGTATTAAAATAATCATTAATTTAATTATGGTTTTAAAGTGAGAGTACAAAGTGTAGCAATAAATGCTAATTATTTGGTTAATCGATTGAATCGATAGATATATAGATTGAATATATTATGGTGAAAATACTTGCGGACATTGCAATCATCAATTATATCACCATTTAGTAAAATAAACACAAATAATGTATAAATAAAACATGAATTGAAACAATTAAATAGCAATCAAAATCATACCTGATATGCGTTTTGGTGCGAATTGTTGATCACTTTTGTATCGCAGCCGCGGAGTAGTAGGACTCGGGCGCAGTCGATCTGGTCGTTGATGGCCGACACATGGAGTGGTGTATTGCCGGAGCCGACGATCCGACAGTTCATATCACACCCGTAGTACAGGAGTTGCTCCAAATGGGCCACAAGTCCTAACTTACATGCCTTTTGGGGACATTATTAGCGAGAGTGAGTGGTAGTGAACGGGTATTTAAAACACACACAACATATAAGATACAGATTAATAAGTGGTTTGAGTTTTACTTTTTTTGTTGATATTATTTGTGTTTAACTTATTTTTTTTGTAAAGATAACTATTTTTGTTGTATTATAATTAAATAGTAAAAAACAACTTTTAGTTTCGTTTTTGAGATAATAATAATGAAATATTATGACATTTTTAGGCGAATTTTGTTGTGTTATGTTTTGCGGGGAAATAAAAGGCGAAATAAATGTCCAAATTATGGCTTTTCTGTGTTAATTGAGTTTCAATTAAATGATAAATTTTTTGTGACAGATTAGGGTTATTGTTGAGCGTAACGTTACACACATTATACAACTCTCTCTCTCTCTCTCCCTCTTCTCATTCAAACTCGCGATTCAATCGACTATTGAATTAATGAAATACT